GTACTAATGAAAATAATAACAATAATCATAGAAGGAGATCAGTAGAGTAGAACAAGTGGGTCAGGGAGAGGAAGGAGAGGAGGGGTAGGGAAGGTACTAGGGAAGGAGATTGAGCAAATTATGTCATGTGCTTGTATCACTGTGGCATCATGAATCCCACTATTACGTGTGACTATAATGCATCAGTAAAAATATAATAATTGTACATATTTAAAAAATATATATATATGTTTATTTTTTAGTTGTAGGTAAACATAATGTGTTTATTTTACTTTACGTGGGGCTGAGGATTGAACCCAGGGCCTTGCACATGCTAAACAAGTGCTCTACTGCTGAGCCACAGCTCCTAATAATTGTACATATTAACCATGTGATGTTTCAATACATGTACACATTATGCAATGTTTAAGCCAGATTAAACATACCTATTTTTGCAAAAAAGTGCAGATCTTTTCATGTTAGTGCCCGAGTTAAAAACAGCAACAATAAACCTTATTTGACCTCCTATTGTCTCTAGGGCAAACCTTTTTTTTTTTTTAATCAAAGGACATAGTTTATTAGATGAAAAAGATTGCTTGGGGGAATTCAGCCACTTTTCTAGGCAGAACATGGGCATATGTGTAAATCATGGAGTTAACATAGTACACAACCAGGGTTACAACAATTAAGCAGAATATCTAAACAAAAAGAATCTAATGATCACTATGAAAACATTATTAATATACAGATGTGTAACTTTCCAAATTGTTTTCATTTATTGACAACTTATTGTCTTTCTCTATTGATATATGTTTGTATTGTATAAATGTAATCATACTGTATATCCTATAACCTATTTTTTCTATTGACAGTCTATCTTGATTAGAAAAATTTATCAATTTCATATCATGAACGTTCTGTATGCCTCAAAAAGTCAACTTTTTGGCTCCTGAACAATTCCTTGTCCTTGCTGTCTAGCTCCTGAGTTTTGACTAACTTTTTTTAGTCCTGAGCCTATGAAGGAGGTTCTAGTTTGTACCAAGAGGCCCCTTCTCAGCCTGGAGGGGTGGGAATGGTGGAAGGAAGATCTGCTCTGGGCAGGACTGAGTAGCCTAATCACAGGTCCAGATTAGCATCCCTAGAACCAGGTGCTGCTGGAAACCTTCCTACTGAAGAGCCTTGGGGGCTCTTTGGGACTAGAGTTTAGGTTCCATAAATAGCATGTGGCGTGTGGGGCAGAAGTAGTCATGAAGGAGATTAAAGCTTATGGCAGCTTACGTCAGGATGGGCTCACTTAGGCACAGCTGGTCTAACTCTTCTTTTTACTTCCCCAGTTCTGGCTTTTCTGGATCCTGTGCTTCACCAATAGGGGAATCAATGGATCATTAATTAGCTCTCACAATTCTAAAACCATGACTGATGTAAGTTGGTATTTTTCTCTTCTTGAAATATTCTGATTTTTTTGGTCACATGAATTTTTCCCTTGTACCCTAAAGCTTTCTACCTAACAGAACTCCAACCCTGAACCCACTTATCAAGCCCTTTTGTTCCAGTCAAGATGGTGTTAAATAGCCCAGTGTCCAGCCTCAGTGCCTCTCCCTTTTCCAATCAATGTCTTATTCATTGAATCTAATATTCAACATTTCCTGTGTGCTCAGTCATACATCTTAGATGTAATCTAACAGGATGATTTACTTGAGACTTGACAATAATCCTTAACTTAGTGGAAATCACTTTTCTAATTCAGAGATTTAGAGTACATTTGTGAGTATGCTTGAAAAGTTTTTGTGAATTTTTTTCATATTCCTTAAAAGGAAAAGATGGCTAGCACTTCACATTTATAAGGAATTTATAGGTTGTAAGTACATGTATACACACTCAATTTTTATTTAATAGAGGAGAAACTGTGATTATTTATATATTTCCAGATAGATCTTGATAGCTGAGTTATTTTACTGCATCTAGGAAGTTTTTTTTTTTTTTCTGCTATAAGAGGATCATTCTAGAATATTGATGTTCTGCTTTGGTTGCCCTGGTTTTCTTATTTTTCCCTAGCTATATCATAGGCTTCCAGACTTACTTGATTGATATATTTTCCAAAGAATACGTGGGTTTTTAGTTTCAGGAATTGGTGACATTCAGGGATGTGGCCATCGATTTCTCTCAAGAGGAATGGGAGTGCCTGGACCCGGCTCAGAGGGACTTGTACATGGATGTGATGTTGGAGAACTATAGTAACTGGGTGTCACTGGGTAAGGTCAACTGCCTGAAATAATTTAGAATCTCTTCTCTGCAACATCACCTTTCTCCACAGGAAATTATAGAGCTATCTTCAAAGAACACAGATGAATTCCAAGAATGTTTCAATACTTTGTTGGGTTAGAGATGGGCTCATTAAGCACCTTGATTTCCCCATCCCTCAGTGAGCTTCACAACTTCCTCTGGCTTTCCCTGCAGTTGCCTCTCTTCTTCAATGACCAAGGGGCTTGGTTTGCATTGGAGGACATTCATTCCATACACCATGGTCAGAGAAACCAGGTCACATGCTGTGTTTACTTCCAGACTCTCTGTAGATGTGGTTCTCCCTCCTCAAAGTGTGGTTCTTTTGTTTGAGGAACCGTAAGAAAGCCAGAACAAAGTTAGTGAAGGAGAGAGGACCAAGAAATTCGTAAGGGAGATCAGTAGGAGCCAGATGATAGGGAGATGTGTTGGTTTTTTGTGAGAATTATAGATGGTTTTCTGAGCTTCAATGTCATGGTTTGGTTGGTGGGCATTAAGTTTTATCTTTTTGTTGTGAACTCCTACGCAAAAAGCATCAGCTTCTTCTGGGGCTGGTCAGAATGCAGCATGTCAGGTCCTAACCCTGACCTGCCAACAGAATCTGCCTTTACATGAGATCTGCCCAGTTATCCTCACACATTCAGGTGAGAAGTGCTGCTCTTGGTTATTTTCTGACTCACATACAAGGAAAACAGCTAGAAAGAGAGACCTGATATACTCTGACTTTTGAGAGCCTCTGCACTTTATTTAGGGGAAGATTCAATGAATAGAATTCATTTAATAGTAAACACATTACTTACAAAAGATTTGAAGTTCAAAGTTCAAACCTATGAACTTTGCGTTGAACATTTTGTTAAATCCTAAAAATGTCTCATGAGATGTGTTGGTTTTCCTCTTAGCAAAATAACAATAATCATGTGCTAATATTAATAGCACTATGCTTTACTATATACCAGGCTCTGTTCTAAGCAGTATAAATACATTATTTAACCCTTATGACAGCTTCAGGTACCATCTGTCCCCATTTTTGGTTGAGAATACAGAGGCACATACATTTGAAACGACTTGCCAAGGTCACAGAGCTGGTAGAAGTCAGTGGCAGGTTCTAAGGTATATGTTCTCAACCACTATCTATTTTCTCTAGAGGCAGAGCCTTGAATGAGTCTAAAACAAGGTCATTTTCTCTTCTCTGAAGTACTTACCAGTACTGTATTTTACCGTTGTTGTAAATTTCACTAAATTTTTTGAGCTAAGAAAATGTCTACACTATTAGGCATTTATTTTCTTGCAAGCAGACACTTTGTTCCTAAGGCAGATATGACTACATTTATTAGAGAAAGGGAAGAGCCCTGGATGGTGTGAGAGGGAGGACAAGCAGTTGGAACCCAGGAGAGGCAAGGCAAGGCAGAGGCAGGGAACATCCTCTCAGGTCACAGAGAAGAAGGAGCACCTGGTATGGGGCTTGGGAAGTTCCCTGTGAAGGACCAAGACCCATGGAGTGAAGACCTGAGACTTAGGATGAAACAGAAATCTCAGTTTGGGCTACCAAAGGAATGTCACTTCTTTTTTTCTCTTTCCACTGCAGAACCCAGGGCCTTGCATATGCTGGGCAAGTGTTATTCCACTTAGCTGCACCCCCAGCCTAGAATATCATCTTCATCCCATTTACCTGTTTTTGTTGTCTTTTCATATTTCCTGCCTATTTCAATGAGGAAAGTATTCTATTTATACTGGTGCAACCATTTTACCTGTATATTGAATTTAGTTGTGCGTCTAAGTGAGAAGTGAAGATATGTATTCATTTATAAATTCTGCAAATATCGTATTGAGTACCCACTCTTAGCCAGGCATTGCATGGGACTCTATCAATACAGTCATGAACAGGATTGAGAACTTGCCCACTTTCATGCCATTTACCTTATAGTGGGGCAGGAACACAAATAAGTAAGCAACTAAATAAATACTATTCTGTAATTAGTCATGTTGTTCAGGAAAGGTAAACAGTATAAAGGAATAGAAAGCAATGGGGATACTTTTGATAAGATGTTCAGGGAAAGCTTTCTTGAATAAAGACACAGTCTGGAATAGTAAAATATTCTGTCCTATCCTGTTCAAAAATAGCTTAGATGTGTGGTAGGAGGTAGCTAAAAACATGAAAATCAGTGTCTTGAAATCTAAATTATACACAGAGGTGTGGCAAAGTTAAGTTTTTTTGAAGAAAAGAAAAGAAAAGGACTTTCCTCTTACAGAGAGGGACAGTTTATCCCAAGGTCGTTTTCCTTTTGCTATTAGTTCTTTTTGTGTCATTTCATGCTTTTGTTGCTCTTTTCTTACATGATGACATGACATGGCATTTCTGATGCATTTAACCACACTAATATTGTCATAACATCTGAATGACAGTACTTAAAGCTTTACTTTTCCATCTTAAAATAAAGTTGGCAGGGGCTGGGGTTGTGGCTCAGATGTGGAGCACTTGCCTCGAACATTTGAGCCACTGGGTTTGATCCTCAGAACCACGTAAAAATAAAAACAAATAAAATGAAAGTATTGTGTTCATCTACAACTAAAACTATTTTAAAAAATACAGTTAGCAGTATTAGTGTTTTGTAAGATGATGTGTGGCATCATTGATCTTCACCATTGATGTTGATGTTTGAGTTTAGTTGAGTGAAAATGTGTTTTAAAATAGTCAAGAAATAAGTAAACTTAACTGAACTATAACTTAAAGTATTTGCTCTGTTTTATGAATAGCTTCTTAGAAACTAATTATGTCCAAAAATTATTTACTGTCAAGATCATTGTCACTGAGTGTGTTAGAGAACTTATAATTTATTTATTTATGTAGTTAGTTTGTTTTTTGTGCCAGGGAATGAACCCAGGGGTGCTTAACCACTGAACCACATCCCAGCCCTTTTTGTTGTTTGAGACAGGGTCTCACTAAGTTACCCAGGGCCTTGCTAAGTTAATGAGGTTGGTTTTGAACTTGTCATATTTAGGCCTCGGCCTCCTGAGCTACTGGAATAAAAAGCATGTACCACCATGCCTGGCTTTAAAATTGTTTAATTAAAGTAAATATGTAGATTTGCATAATTTGCAGCATTATCTGACATTATCAGAATCAATCCTTTCATGCAAATCTGGCTTAGTTTAAATAAATATAAATTTAATTGAGCATGCATTTTTGTCATTGTAAATATTTATGAAAGCAACATTAGCTTCATCTCAGAGTTTGGCAAAGAATGGTCCTGGAAGCCCAAACTACCTGTTTTTGTAATTCAAGGGGAATTGGGATATGCCATGCCTATTTATGTTTATATAACATCTGTGGCTGCTTTCTTGGTAAGAGGGTAGAGTTGAGTAGTTGGGACTGTATGGTCTTTTACAGAAAAAGTTTGCCAAACTCTACTTATCTAATGAGTACGACATATATAGAAAAATCTACATAGCACATAAACTTTTTTTTTATAATAGAACTCTTACACCTTGATATTGTGATAGGCTTTTTTCATTCTGATAATATTCTTGGATTCTCTCTTTTTTTTTTTTAGAGAAAGAGAGAGAATTTTTTAATATTTATTTTTTAGTTTTCGGCAGACACAACATCTTTGTTAGTATGTGGTGCTGAGGATGGAACCCGGGCCGCACGCATGCCAGGCGAGCGCGCTACCGCTTGAGCCACATCCCCAGCCCTAGCACATAAACTTTTGAAGTTGTTTTACAAACTTTAAAAACCTAATAGCAATGCTTTTTTTTAATCTTATAAACAGAGCTATTACTTTAACTGGGAATCAAACCCTTTTTCCTTAGATATAGCTCTAGCAAGCATCAAAGATTTTCTTAAAGATCTATAACACTTTAAACACTGGGAGTCAATTTTTTCTGTCTTAAAAAATTGTTTCAAGTTGGGCCATGGCCCCAGCACCTGGTCCAGAAAGAGGGCCTAGGACACATCTCTGTCCCTTCTGCTACCCTGTGCTCCCTGCCATTCCTCTGTTATCTGCTCAGCTGCAGGCACCACTGGGGACTACATAGGTAAAGTATCGCAAGTAAGGGCACAGGTGTGGACACCTCCCACCAGACTCACTAGGAAGAGGCCAACTCCCGGATCCAACATGGCGGCGAGAGGGGAGGCAGCGCTTTCAGTACCTCCTCAACAACGGGGTCAGAGAGACGCATGGATACGCTTAGATTCGACCTGCTGAGAAACTCCTAGCAAAATTCCACTAAAGAGAGACCGGCCGGGAATCGGTAGGATTTTTGGAGGTGACAGTTTGTGCTAGAAGAGTGAATCTCCGCCACGCAGCGCAGAGGTCCAGACCCGCCAGCCGCTGCCCGCGCGACTCGGCGACTGTCGGCTGCCTGCACCGGCCCCCGCGTCAGGGCGGATAGCCTCTGAGGCGCAGCGCAGCAGGAGCGGTGCAGGGACTCTAGGAAGAGGTCTCTCGCCAAGCCTTCATGAAATAGCGAACCGGGAGCTGAAACCAACCAGAGACAGACCAGTCCCACCCCTCCCTTCGGACACTCCGGCAAGGAGCCTGGGGCCCGCCATAGCAGAGAGGTGACATCACCAAAGTTCCGCCGGCAGAATTCCTTCCCAGCGGAATCCACGTTAGCAGGTGTGTGACTCCCACCCCCTCCAGATACAAGCAGCCAGGAAACCTTGGGAATCTCTCCGGGGGCGTGTCTGTAGGGAAGCAGAGGGGATTCCAGATCCCCACCTCCCCTTAACACCAGCGGCGACACCCAAGATCTTAGCCGCCAGTTTCTGGGGGCGTGCCCACCAAAGGGGTCCGGAAAAATTAAACTGTTGGTTCCCAGATCACCCCACCACAGCACTGGGGCTTAGATGAATGACAGAGAGGGTGTTCATCGTTCGGGATATAGGACACGCGGTGGGGCTGCAAGTGTAATCAGATCCTTGGGGAACCGCCTCTGGTGAACAGGACCTGGCTGGCTGGCTGGGAGGAGG